ATCAAAAATGGCCGCCATCCGGTGGTTAAGGTAGGGGAGGAGTAAAAAGGGGGCGTGGCTAGGTAGTTAAGATAGGTATGATGTAAAAGGGGGCGAGGCCTGAGGGTCATGTGACTGACCACTTGGTGGTTAAGGCTGGGTGGAGGTCCTAAAAGGCATCATGCTTTGGTTGCTCCACCCAATGTACTTTTTTAAAAATTACCCAAGACCTTCATTTCTCTATAGACAGAGAATTTCTATCCTGCTTCTCTTTGATTTTTCAAAAGCCTTCGAATCAGTTAATCACGAAATCCTCCTTTCCAAACTCCAAATCCTTTCCATATCAAATAGTGTTCTAAAGTTTTTTTTTTTTTATTTGTTTATTTTTTTTTTATTTTTATTATATACATTACGACATGTCATACTGATAAGCTACATGTTTATGGTTGCTATCCCTACATGTTTATGGTGGTTAACCTTACACATGACATAATGGTGGTTTGAATACTACTTAGAAAATTGAAATTAATTTTTTACAGTAGGAAAAATCACATAAAAACCTACATAAGATGTAAATGAAAAAACTAGGTTACAATCATTAAAAGTACAAGAAAAACTAAATATAATTTATGTGCAAAAGGAAACTATATATATATATATATATATATATATATATATATATATATATATATACATATATATATATATATATATATATTTACACATACAATACTTACTCACACACACACACATATATATATATATAGATACACACACACACACATCCTATAAATACAATTTGTTGATTGGGGTGATTGAGTTTATTGTTACTTGTTTGGCGATAGATAAGAAACCGTTAAATTTTCACAAATCAACTGATTGATTTAGACGTTTAGTAGTATGTGTTTAGTCCGTCTTTGTGTATACCGTTTCAAAGATGTTTTGTCATAGTTACCTATTGTTCGGATCATAGGGTTTTCAGACGTTGGTGTAAGCTCAAAAAATCTCTGTGTTTTAAAATAAATATATTTTTTTATTGTTGGAAGCTGTAATTCTGCTAGCATAATAGATACTTTGGTATAACGTGGATAGTTGTTTTTGATTCTCATACACATATTTTGAATTACTTCGAGCTTTTTGTAATTAGTCTTGCATGTATAACTCCATACTGGGCAGAATAAGTGATTAAAGGGCGGATTACTGTTTTATATAAAATTAGTTTATTTTTTGTATTCAGTTGTGAATATCTATTAAAATATGGTGACATTTTGCTGATCATGTTTTTTGCTTTATTGCACTTGTTGTTGATATGTTGGGTAAAATTTAGGGACCTATCAAGTTCTAGGCCTAAATATTTCACGGAATTGGACCAAGGAATCTGTACTTCTTTTATGTGTATATTGTGGTTTATGCGTGGTCTTCTTTTTGTAAAAATAATTGCTTCAGTTTTTTGATCATTTATTTTTATTTTCCATTTTTCAAAATACTTGCAGAGTTTTATGAATTGGGATTGTAATCTGTTAGTTATAGTATCGATTCTAAAAGAAGAGGTGTAAATAGCTGTATCATCTGCATATAAGGAGTATTCTATTGAAGGAATGGAAGGGAGGTCTGCGATGTATAGGTTGAATAGTGTAGGAGAAAGACAGGAGCCTTGAGGGAGACCTGCAGATAGGAAATGGATTGAGGAATGGTCATTCTTTATTGTAATGCAAAAGGATCTATTGTTGAGATATGAGTGAAGGAGGTGGATTATGTAAGGTGGGAATTTATATAAAATGAGTTTATGGATAATACCCTCATGCCATACTGTGTCAAAAGCTTTTTCTATGTCTAGGAGGAGCATACCGACGTGTTTCTTTTCATTGAACGCTTTGGTAATATAGTCGGTCAGTCTGGCTAGTTGGGCTACTGTTGAGTGCTGTTTTCTGAACCCGAATTGCTCGTTAGATATCAGACTGTTTTGAGATATATGGCTCAGGATTCTTTTTAGAAGTAGCTTTTCAAAAAGTTTTGAAATTATATTAAGTAGACTTATTGGTCTGTAACTACGAACATCTGCTGGGTCTTTGTTTGGCTTCGGAATCGTTATGATTTTTGCTGTTTTCCAAGCCGTCGGGAAATATCTAAAGCGAAGCATACAGTTATACGTCTTTGTTAGGAATAAAATAGCCTTTTTGCTTAATTTCTTAATGGCAATTGGAGGTATAGAGTTTGGACCGGGTGATTTTTTAGTTTTTAACTGCTTTATAACCTGTTTTACCTCTTTGAATGAGATTGAAGGGAATGTATTTGGAACGGGTTCTTTGAGAAAGCTTTTTACGGATTTAATGATAGTTCGATTGTGGTTGTTGGTGCCTAGATCAGCCGAAATATTATATGCTAATGTGAAATAGTTTGCCATGGCTTCTGCCTTCTCTGTATTAGAATAGGCGAAATTGTTTGCTAGTTTGATTGGAGGGATATGGTGAGGACGATTTGTTAGAATTTTGTGTATTTTCCAAAATTGTTTACTACCAGGGGACAGTTCCCTAAGAGTTTCCTGCCACTTTAAGTTCCTCCAACTATTTAAACGAATTTTTAGGTTGGCATTTAATTTGTTAAAGAGGCATTTATACTTTATGTTCCTGGTGAGCTGGTATTTTTTTCCGGAATTTATTTTTTATAAAAATAAAAAATTGAAGTTGGGGAGGTATGTTGTCGGGTTTGTATTGACAGGATACCTGTGGAATTGATTTTATCATGCCAGTTTTGACAGTCTCCATAAATTTATCGATGTTAAAATCTATATCGGAGGTTTTTATTATAACGGGGTTAATATCTAGATTTTTATCTATGATTTTCCGGAATTTTTCCCAATCAGCCAATTTGTAATTGAATTTTGGGATCGTGCTGGTTTTTATGGTTTTATTTTCCAATCGAAAGATCACCGGGTTATGGTCCGAACTGAGACATGGTACCGAGATAAGGCGAGAAACATCAGAAATATTTTTGGTTAGGGCTAAATCAATAATGCTAGATTTGAATTTTTTCTGAGTTGGTATGTAAGTTGGCTCGTTTGGAGCATGCAATTCAATATTTTTCCGTGATATAGTGTTCTAAAGTGGTTCCATTCTTTCTTGTATCAAAGATTCCAAATAGTCATTCCCAATAAAACTCCTTCCTCCCCTCCCCCTCTTATTAACTAATGGTGTTCTTCGAGGGTCTCCGCTCTCTCCTATTCTTTTCTCCTTCTACATTAACGACATTCCTAATCATAGGCGCGGTCTACTGGGGCTCGTGGGCTTGAGCCTCCCCCCAATACCGTGGTGGAGGCTCAGTCTCCCAAACAAATTGCTATTGTATGAACTTCATGAACACATCGATCGTGTACATTACTATTCCATTACAAAAGACGTTATCTATCATTCTAGCAGGTATAGTAGAATTTGTTTAACGGCATCCTATTTTGGATTCATAAACTCGACTGAACTCTAAAAGGAATCATCTATTAAAATACTAAAATATTTTATTTTAAAGTATTTTGTGTTACTTAATACTTTTTTTTGTCATCTGGAAGGGTTTGAAACGACTTAATACTTTCCTGACATAGTAATTTTCCATGTAGGCAGATATTATACATTGCATATGAGCATATAGGATATATTCCAAACAATATCCCCACCCTCCCATGCACCCTACTCCGTAATCCCATAGTTTGGCCCTCCGTATAATTTTCATAAGTCGGCACCTATGTTTATGATTCCATCCATCATTCATATTACCACTGGTATGCTGACAATCTCCAAATCTATCTTTCCTTCCATCCTACCTAGATGCTTGATGCTATCCAAAGGTTACTTGAAGATATTGACAGTATTAATACTTGGGCATCGAGCTATGATTTAAAGTTGAACGTTGAGAAGACCAAAGCTATTCTCATTGGTTCCAAGCATCTAATTAATTCCACAGCTTATTATTCTCTACTTTACCTCAATGGGCTACCCAGCCGTTTTCCCTCTTCTGTTAGAAACCTTGGGGTAATGTTTGATCAATATCTGTCTTGGATTAATTGTGTTTCCCGAAAATCCCATTGCTATCCTCAATTTTTCCTGAGATTCCATGATTTATGCCTCTTAAAATCTGTCAGCTCTTAGTGTTCTTTCTCATTTTCCCCCACTTCGGATATGGCGGCCTTGTATATGGTGGACTGTTTAATGGGTTTGAGATCAGATTAAAGGGACTAATGATTTGTTTCATTAAATTTATCTTTAGAGTCCTCAGCTGATCCGACGTCTCCATTTGCTATGCCGAGTTGAAGTGCCTGTATCCAGTTTCCCGACGGCTATTTTTTCATGGTGTGTTCTTTTTCCAAACCTTTACAACCAAAAATCCGTCTTACCTTCTTGATTTGTTTACTCCTTGTTCCTCTGTCCATTTGTTTAACATGAGATACTGGTCCTCAAACATGTTTATTCCTTCTCATAGAAGTGTTTCCTGAAAATAATCCTTTGCTATACATGTTACCTTGTTTTGGAATTCTCTACCACCCTCCCTATGCAAATCTTTATCTTTGACCTCTTTTAAACACCATTTATTTTTCCATTTGCTCAGCAATCAATCTTCCGAATATAAAAATAATGTTTTCGTATTTTAGTGCTGTCAGCTGCATTTCCTGTTATCTTACATGTGGGCTCATTCACATATATTTATCTATAATTTCACATGTCTACTAGTGCTTTTTCTTCGTTTTAAATTTAGGGTTAGATAACTTAGTAAATTAATTTATTTTTAATTGTTTCTCAATGCCAAACAATTGCCAATTTATTGTTCATTGCATTTATTCTTAAGGGATTTAATGGCTCTAAATATAATTTATTTTTCTTTCTTTCTTCATTAAACAATTTTTTTATAAAATAATCTTACCTTATTTCATTTGTAAACTCATGAAAAATTATTTAACCTGTTGCACTACATAATTTTGAATTTTTATTAATTATTTTATAATCCTGTATTAATTTGATTTTATTGGTTGTTTTCAGGTAAGTCATCCGCCAGATGGATTAATGGACGAAACATTATTGAAAAATGATGTGAAGTATTCTTGTATTTATTTTTTTGGAACCCACAATTAGTAAGTTGCAATAATTTTAATTTATTATCTAATTGGCTTTTGTATAAATGTTAAACATTTTATATCAATGAAATATAGTCTGGAAAAGATTTTTTTTTTTTTTTCTTTACTGTTTGGATATGAAACCCACTCCAAATTGGCTATTCTCTGTACTTGAATGCATGAAAATGACAAAACCCTTGGATGGTTCTGCTATTATTTCACTATTACCTCTGATTTCTGCAATCCCAATAGTCCTGAAGCCCGTGGCAAAAAAGGTGTCATATTTCATACTGAAGCCTTATACATTGACTATATCCACAGCCCTTATGAAAAAAATGCACGCCTGCCAGCATATAGCCGCTGAATTAAAAAATGGCAGTCATGTGAAGATTGATAGAGACCTTACATTACATAGGTTGTACGCATATATATAGAGAGGGCTTATAGATATATAAAGTTGCCAATCCTTACAATTTATAGTATTTACAGCCTTAAGACATGGAATAATAGTCAGTTACCCCATACCCGTGGATTTCAAATAGAAAAATTGAATTTACTATTTAAAAATCTTACTTTTTTTTTGTTTTTTTTTTCGCTTTTATCAGTGAAACTATGCATTCTATGTAAAATAATGTGATACGTGAAATTAATGCTGACAAAATTTTCAATAGAAATGGTTATATTAGTTTTTTCACTATATTCTATAGTTTCTGTGATATCTGTCCTTATAGTTCACTAATTTCGAAAAAAATTACGTCGCATTTTTATCATTTTTCACTCACCAACTCTTTATTTTTTTCATTTCATGAAAAAGTAATGAGGAAGAAAGTTGTTTGATATTAAATTTTGCTTGTAAATTGTAAAATTGTTGTTTGAGAATATATATTGCTGTACAATCTTATCTTCAACCTACATTCAAGACAAAATACATGTGTATACATTGGCTTACATAATATACATATATATATATATATATATATATATATATATATATATATATATATATATATATATATATATACACATATATATGTGTGTGTGTGCTGTCTTTTGTACAGATTAAGATCTGTGTAATATCGAAAACTGCGAAAAGTAAGTTTTTTTGCATAGTTTCTGAGTTTAATTCGGAGTTTAATCATTAAGTTATAATTGCTCTAGCCTTTCAATGTTTAAAGATAAGATAGTAATGTAATATGCATTCTTAAAGAAAATTTAATATTAAACTACTTTCTTCCTCATGACTTCGTAAAATGAAAACAAAAAGAGTTGGTGAGTCAAATAATGATAAAAATGTAATGCAGCTATTTTTTTTTTTTTTTTAAATTAGTCAATAACGAGGACGGAAACTATAGAATATAGAGAAAAAACTAATATAAACATTTTTATTGAAAATTTTGTCAGCTTTAATTTCACATATGACATTATTATAGATAGAACGCATATTTTCAATGATATGAGCAAAAAACCGAACAAAGTAAACTTTTTGAATCATAAATTGAATTTTTGACTTGAAATCCATGGTTATGGGGTAACTGACTATTATTTCATGTCTTAAGAGTATAAATACTATAAATTGTAAAGGTTGGTAATTTTATATTTCTATAAGCACTCTCTTTATATATGCTTACAGCCTATGTAGGGTCTCTATCTATCTTCACATGGCCGCCATTTTATATTCCAGCGTCTATATGCTGGCAGATGTGCATTTTTCTCATCAGGTCTGTGGATATGGTCAATTTATAAGAACAAACCTTAGTATGAAATATGACTCATTTTTTGCCATTGGCTCTCCCGAACTACAATGATATCCCATCTGATAGACCCTAAAGCTTCTTCCAATTCCCATAATCTTTCTTGTCCTAGGAGTGTCCAGGTATTTAAAGTGTCGATGATCAGTCTATTTTTATGTTTCTTTTTATATTTTGATATTCCTCTTTTGGCACGTCACTTTTTTCACTATTGTGAGAATTCTTTCCTCCCCTTTTTATAAATCTTTTCAAACTCGTCAATCTATTTTGGATTTTTTTCACATCTGTTAGGTTTTTTCGTGTTTCATGAAATAGTAATTTCTTTTCTAGTAACATTCAGTGATTTTTCTACGCTTCTGAACTTTTTTCCCGGAAAAATATCTTGTGCTTGGTGTTTTCATGTCTGAAGATCTTACTATTTATAATTAATTTAACGTACTTTATAATTATTGTTCTTTGCTTCTAATAAGTAGGTGAATAATTGTTCTCTTATTTTTCTGATTGCTAGTGAGAAATCTCCTTTCATTGTTATATTGTGAAGATGTTCAGATGATTATAATAATAATAATAATAATAAGGCTTAGCGAACCCGAAGGTTCGATGCCGACACCACCAATCGCTTGTTACACACATCCCTCCGCCGTTCGCCGTCCAAACCCAGTCCCTTCAGATCGGCTTTAATGCAATCTTCCCACCTTCGCTTCGGTCTACCCCTCGGACGCTTACCATTCGGCACAGCAAATATTAACCTTTTAGGAATTCTCTCGTTACTAAGCCCAACAACTTTACAAGCCCAATTGATTCGCCGCGATGAAATTACCTCAATTATATTACCCGGATACATCTCACGCAATTCGGCGTTGTGTAACCGTCTGAACTCTCCGGTTAACTCATCCTTCTTCGGTCCGAATATTCTACGCAATACTTTATTTTCAAAAACCTTAAGACGCTGCTCATCCCTTAATGTAAGCGGCCAAGTTTCGCATCCATAAAGAACTGTAGGCAAGATAATTGTTTTATAGATTCTAATTTTTAAGTTTCGGGACAAGAGGCGCGAACTAAGTAGTTTTGTCACAGAAAAATAACAAGCATTCCCCGCCTTCAGTCTAACCTTAATCTCTTCTTCAATTTCGTTTTTTCTAGTTATCGTAGAACCTAGATACCTAAATTTATCTACCTGTTCAAACATATTACCATCTATATCGATATCACCAGTAGTATCGCCATTTTTGCAGCTAACCATATATTTTGTTTTATCCACGTTTATTTCGAGTCCTAGTTCTTTACCGGCTTTCATTAACGTTGTCGTATTTAGTTTTATAGTTTCAACGTCTTCGCTTAACAGTACCAGATCATCAGCATAGCCCAGCACGGATGTTGTCCCGCCCAGATCCAACCCTTTCTCGGTTCGCATTACCTCCCTAATGGCATGTTCTAATGCCAAATTGAACAGGACAGGCGAAAGAGAATCCCCCTGTTTTAAGCCCGAACGAACCTCAAATTTTTCGGACAAATTATTACCGATTCTAACTTTATTGAGTGTCTCCGTCAAGCACATCCTGACTAGATTTACTAGTTTTTTTGGAATCCCCTGCTCGATTAGAATATTATACAGTTTCTGGCGGTCAATAGAATCGTAAGCCTTTTTAAAATCTATATACAGCTGGTGAACAATACCGTTATACTCCAATTTTTTCTCTAATATTTGCCGTAAAGAAAATATTTGATCAATAGTCGAACGATTCCGTCTAAATCCGCATTGGTAGTCTCCGATAATTTCCTCGGCGTATTCCGTGATTCGACTGGTTAAGATTAAAGTGAATATTTTATAACATACCGGAAGGAGTGAAATTCCTCGATAGTTATTACAATCCGTCCTCGGACCCTTTTTGTGAATCGGAATAAGAATAGATTCTTTCCATTCTTCAGGTAATTTCTCGTTCACCCAGATCTTTTTAACCAACCGATGTATTTTAGAAACTCCAGCTTCCCCGCATGCCTTAATTAGTTCAGTAGGAATATTATCGATTCCCGCTGCTTTATATGATTTTAATTTTCCGATAGCTACTTCAACTTCCTCTTTACTTGGTCCTTCTATTAACGGTTCAGCACTCTGGTACTCAGAAGGAGGACACAGATCATAATTTCCCGTATTTAAAATATTGTCAAAGTGGTCCTTAAACTTATTCAATATGTCAACCGGATCGGTCAGAATATTGTTATTATCATCCCTAATTCCAGACGTTACGGGCCCTACATATTTACGTGATCTGTTTATACCTTTGTACATGTCTCTTACGTTATTTTCGATTCTATTAGTTTCTATTTCAATTATTTTATTTTTAAGATACTCCCTTTTTTTATTTTTGAGCAATTTTGTCGTTTCGTTCTTTGAGATTCGGAAGTATTCCAGATTGTCTTCGCTAGGATTATTTAGAGCTTTTAATTTAGCGGCTTTTCTTTTTTCACACATGTTTAAGCAATCTTCATCAAACCACGGTTTGTTATTCTTATTTTCCTTTTTTCCTAGACACGAGTTACCGACCGCTTTAATATTATCTCTGATCTCTATCCATAACTTGTCAATATCCTCGTGGTCCTCGTCAGGAAGCTCTAAAGCTTCAAACCTATTCTTAACATCTAGCTCGAATTGGTTTCTAATTGATGGATTTTTTAATTTTTCCAAATTAAAATTCTCAAAATCGAAACGGTTTTCTTTTCTCTTTTTTATATTAAGTTTTTGTCGAAGTTTCGCGATTACTAATTCATGATCCGACCCACATTCTGCTCCGCGATAAGACCGTACATTAATTATACTGCTTTGCCAGCTGTGTTGTATCAAGACATGATCGATTTGATTTCGTGTTTGCGAATCCGGTGATGTCCAAGTATATTTATGAATATCCTTATGTTTAAACGTCGTACTTTTAATTATCAGGTTTTTCGAGATGGCAAAGTTTATCAGACGGATCCCATTATCATTACTATATTCGTGCAAACTTTCTTTACCAATCGTCGGAATATAAACTTCTTCCCTTCCTACCTTTGCGTTCGCGTCACCTACAATTATTTTCATGTAGTTTCGTGGTAGTTTATCATAAACCCATTCGAGTTTATCGTAAAATTCACTTTTGACTTCATCGTCACTGTCTTCGGTCGGACAATGTATGTTTATTAATGCGATTTTAAACCAACGTCCCTGAAATGTAGCTACCGAAATTCTATCACTAAAGAATTGTACGTCCCTCAAAGCGGATAGTAATCTACGCC